CACCCTCTTTGGGGCAGTGAATACACATGGAAGTTTGAGAGCCTCTGCCCCATAGATAGGTTCTTACCTACTGAACCTACTTTATCTACATGGCCTTTTTCTCAGCTGGGTATATCCCCTCACCCTGGAGGCCAAAAACAAGATTTTGAACACTTGTTAGCCTAATACTGCTCCATGACCACAGACTGTGTCCTAGCTGTTCAGAAATCCTATTCAAAAGCCACAAGGGGGACCAAGCAAGAGGGTATGGATAATACATTAAGTCAAATCCGTCTCCACTATTGAAAAGACCATGCCGGGAACCTCCCCTTCTGATTATAAGGCACTGGCATCAAGAGAGAACACCACATTAGTGGGTATGCAGGTCAGCATACCTATGTATATAAGGGAGTCTAGAGAGCGCCTCCCTCCATTCTTGTAGATTCCAACCAAATTATCCCTCCCTGTACATTTCTTCCCACATCATTATTTTACCCGTAGACACCTGATTTGGATTCATGTGCTCGTGAAGAAGTTTATGAAAAGATATGTTTTTGTGTTTTATTTTTTGGGAGGTTTTCAATTTCTTTGTATAAATCAAATCGAATTTTTGAAATATGCCTTTGCTCATGATCCTGTGAAATTTTGAGTTTGTAAAGAAAATAAAATGTATCACCATCAGATAACCTGCATATCACCAAGAGATAACCTGCATATCACACACAAAAAAATTGAAGGATATTTATTCTGTACAGCCCAGTGAGAGGGCTCTTGGTCAGTGGAACTATAAATGCCTTATACACAGGCAAGGCTATTCCTCTTTCAGTTGAAGGACTCTTTATGAGATCATCTGAATTCCTTTTTAAATTAAGCTCCATGCTCACCAAAGAAACATTCTGATTATGATCTTGCTCCTTACATAACTTAGCAACAGGGAGGAAATGTTGTGAGTTTGCCTCCTGCCTTCTGGAGAAACCTTTTATCTTCATTTCTAGCCAACCACATGATAGTCTTCCTTTGGTTCAAAAAATTCTCCATGGTTTCTTTAATAAAAGTAACACATAACACTAAATAAAAATTCTGGGCTATGGCTTTAGTTCTCTTTTCTGAGAGTCTGCTTCTGACTCATCAATGGGTATGAATTAGAGTGGCAAAGGAAAAGAGCTAAAGACTAATCAAACCTCTAACCTCACATTTCCCTGAAATTCACAGAAGATGCATAATGTGAGCTAGCACCTTACATACCCTTTGCAACCTCTCTTTACCTAGAAGTACCAAAATGCAAATAACTCCTTCTTTCTTACAGCCTGCAGAGCCCCAGAGACCAAATAAACGGTGAGAATTTGAATGACAACTGAAACCTCTTGTGTGCATTTTTATTTATCTAACTCAAGATTTGCTAGAGTTCAAGCATCTATTTAAAGTTCAAAAACCTATGATTAATGTTAAAATTGCTGATGAGGTATTTTTCAGATCCTGATCACTGCTGAGCAATGGCATGACGTTAAATGCTGGAACAGCGAGATTTTACTTTCCAAAGGACTGAGCTTACAGAACATGAGAGGGAGGCAGGAAGAGGGAAAGGGTGGAGGAGTCTGAGGCAGCTGAATGATAAGCAAAGAACCCTTTTGTTCTTTCCACACTACGGAATCAAAGGCATTTCAGTTCACTTCCCACACCTGAGATGTTTGTCACTAAGCCACTTCCTTCTCTCTGAAATGGGTTTAAACAGTCATTTTGCTGTTCTGAAATTCACATCCCTCTTTTCCCAAACCACATCCATGCCTTTCTCAGTTCACCCTCCCCAGAAACACCTACTCTCAGTCAGGATTTGCAGTTTGCAAGTTTAGAGTCTTATAGAACAATAGATGACAAATTAAGCTTAAAAACAACAACAACAACAGCAAAAAAAAACAAAAAACAACTCTTTCCGAGGAAATTGTAAGACCTCCCGAAATGCAAAACCTATTTTTCCAGGTTTCTGATTTTAGCCAGTATGAAGGTCAATGGAAGCAAACTGCATTACAATAAATGTCGTCTGTCCCACTGATCTTCCTTTTAACTGTGTATTCATAGACGCCTACAATCTGACCTTGTTTCAGTGGGATGCTTACCTGAAGTTCACCTCACTACATTCCAGTTACTGTAGCAAATGACAAGTTGTGACTTGTGCATAGTTTCCCCCTGAGTTTTGAAAAGTAGAAAGCTGTTATTTAACTATGTGGTTTGTTGGGGTTTAAATTTCTGTTGCTATTGCAGCTGTCTTAGCAGTGCTAATCCCAAAGCAAAGAATGATGTGAAAAATTTTGCTCATTTTGAAAGTGTTAGAGAAATTTTTTTAAACTTTTAACTCCTTGAATTCTCAGGAAATGATGTCATCCAGTTCAAACAAACAGCACTTTCCACAGAGCTCCTAAGCAAGGCACATGGTGTTCTATGTGCTTGGAACGCACCAGGTTGGTGTTGTGAGAGGGAACCAGTCAACTGGTAAGTTACAGCAAGGAGAAAAGTTTGAAAAATTTGGGGGATGGATGAGTTCTTGAGTGATTACCTAATTCATTCCCTTGACCTCAAATAGTTTATTGATAAACTTTTTCCGAGAGATGGCTTTCTATTGTGTTTTCAAATATTTTTAGAGGGGAAGCTCTGCTCTTCAGGTTAGATAAAATGGGTAAGCGGTCAACTCTCAGGGGGTCTCTAAGCAGGACCAAAGACATCTGCTTCTTGTCTGTGGCAAAATCTTAGATTTGGATGTATCAAATTTGGATAGATCACATGCAAGAACATATAAAAACAGACAGACCTTTAGAGAAACGACACTGAATTAGAAGGGAATGTAAACATATTTCCAAAGATTCAGAGAAAAATCTTGTATTTGAAAAATAACTTTAAATCAGAAAGAAAAAATTTATGATGACACTTTCTTAATGTCATTGAAGGAAGCAGGACTACAAGGTAGTGATGAAAAAAGAGCAGAAAATTACAAGGAGAAAATGCATTAAGATGAAGACAGAGATAAAAAAACAAAAGAAACATTCTTAACTTTAACATGCAAAAAGTGTTCCATAATCATACAAAATTAAAATGAATGTGAATCAGAGGTATTAATGAATAAAATTGGCAATACATAAAATGAATTGGTCCTGTGGAATAGTGACTTAAACATTTCTCAGAATGTCAAGGAAAAAATAAAAGAGTTCAAATTGTTGAGAGTGAAGATGATTGATGATGAACATGGAAAACCAAGGAAAGAGAATCATAAAATAATAGATGCTCCAGAACAAAGATATATGACTGATGGGAATAAAACAGAAACCAAGATGTAATAAAATAAGATAATTATTAAGAAAGGTCAAAAAGGAGTAGCATAAAACAAAATAAGAGAAGAAAAAACAGGTAAATTAGTTAAGACAATAATGAAAGTAAACAGAAAAAAAAATTGTTTCCAAAGGTCAAATATCCATAGTGAACATAAAATGACCTGGGCTATCAGACTCCTAATATATAAATCAAAAGGACAAAGAAACATCAAATGTAAAAAAAAAAAAAGAGTATTAAACAAATGGTAAACATAAAAGAAACTATGCTTATGGCATTCCTAGCCAGAGAAGGTGAAGTTATAATCACAATGAGAAATGGAATGTTTTCATAAATAGATAAAAGTTATGATTGTCAGAGACACTTGAACCAGAGCAACTCCATCTTGAATAGGAGCTAGATAAAAGAAGACTGAGACCTACTGGGCTGAATTCCCAGAAGGTTAAGGCATTCTTACTCACAGAATGAGACAGGAGATCAGCACGAGATACGGTAATAAAGACCTTGCTGATAAAACAGGTTGCAGTAAAGAAGCTGGCTAAAACTCAGCAAAAGCAAGATGGCAATGAGAGTGACCTCTGATCGTCCTCACCGCTACACTCCCACCAGCACCGTGACAGCTAACTAATATCATGGCAACGTCAGGAAGTTATCCAATATGGTCTAAAATGGGGAGGTATGAACAATCCACCTCTTGTTTAGCATATAACCAAGAAATAACCATAAAAATGGATAACCAGCAGTCCTTAAGGTGCTCTGCCTATGAAGTAGTCATTCTTTTATTCCTTTGCTTTCCTAATAAACTTACTTTCACTTTACTCTATGGACTCATCTCAAATTCGTGTGTGAGATCCAAGAACCCTCTCTTGGGATCTGGATTGGGACCCTTTTCGAGTAACATGTTTCTAGTGACCATAAAGGGACTTTACTGAGGAGACCCCTGATTCAAAAGAAATACCGCAGTACTGATTGGCTTTGGTTAAGTGGTTGGGTACCCAGAAAAGGGATCAGATTGAGTTAGAGGCCCAACTTAGGTGAGTTAGAGCCTCTCCTAAGACAGAGAGAGTTAAAGGTCCCTCTTAACAAAAAGGTAAGACTGAACTTGGGTTCGAATCAAAACTTAGGAAGGTTAGAGCCTGTCCTAAGATTTGGGTTGTTAGAGGCCCATCTCAGTAAAGTCCCGTCAGCTAAAAATGAGTTTGGCACTATGGGATGTTAACTACCATTCTCTTTGGATGACTCTGTCTGTTGGCTATGGTTGACAGAATTAGGCATATACAGGATCATGGGATATGGGGAGCTTTTTCCTCCCCATAAGGGGACCATGAGAACTCATCAAACTGCTGTAAAAGATCCCTTCATGACTGACAAGCGGCCACTTGAACTTTTGATTCAGCGTTGCTGGAATGGGTGAGTCTTTCTCTGGTCTCCCAGCACATTTTATCTTCCTCACCCCGCTACAGACAATGCTTCTCTCTCTCTTTTTTGTTCTGGTATGGTTTGGCTCTGTGTTTCCACCCAGATCTCACCTTGAATTGCAATAATCCCCATGAGTCAAGGGTGGAAACAGGTGGAGATAATTGAATCATGGGAGTGGTTCCCCTATGCTGTTGTCATGATAGTGAGTGAGTTTTCATGAGATCTGATGGTTTTATAAGGGTCTTCCCCCTTTGCTTGGCACTTATTCTCTCTCTTACAGCCCTGTGATAAGGTGCCTACCACCATGATTGTAAGTTTTTTGAAGGCTCCCCAGCCATACAGAACTGTGAGTCAATTTAATCTCCTTTCATTATAAATTATCCAGTGTTGGGTATTTCTTTATAGCAGTATGAGAAGGGACTAATACAGTAAATTGGTACCAGGAGTGGGGTGATGCTATAAGGATACCCAAAAATGTGGAAGCAACTTTGGAACTGGGTAACAGGCAGAGGTTGGAACAGTTTGGAGGGGCTCAGAAGAAAATGGAAAAGTGGGAAAGTTTGGAACTTCCTAGAAATGTGTTGGATGGCTTTAACCAAAATGCTGATAGTCATATGGACAATGAAGTCCAGGCTGAAGTGGTGTCAGATGGAGATGAGGAACTTGTTGGAAACTGGAGTAAAAGTAACCCTTAGTATGCTTTAGCAAAGATACTGGCAAGATACTGGCAAGATTTTGCTCCTGCCCTAGAGACGAACTTCAGAGAGATGATTTAGGGTATCTGGCAGGAGAAATTTCTAAGCAGCAAAGCATTCAAGAGGAAGCAGAGCATAAAAGTTTGGGTTAATGCCAGAATGAGTTAAGACTTTGGGGGACTATTGGAAGGGCATAATTGTATTTTGAAATATGAGAACATGAGATTTGGGAGGGGCCAGGGGCAGAATAATATGATTTGGCTCTGTGTTCTTACCCAAATCTCACCTTGAATTGTAATAATCCTCATGTGTCAAGGGTAAGACCAGATGGAGATAAGTGAATCATGGGGGAAGTTCCCCCACACTGTTCTCATGATGTAAGTGAGTTCTCATGAGATCTGATGGTTTTATAAGGGACTTCGACCTTTCCTTGGCACTCATTCTCTCTCCTGCCACCCTGTGAATAGGTGCCTTTCATCATGATTGTAAGTTTTCTGAGGCCTCCCCAGCCATGCAGAACTGAGTCAATTAAATCTCTTTTCTTTGCAAATTACCCAGTCTCAGATATTTCTTCACAGCAGTGTGAGACCAGACTAATACACTCTCCTTTCCCTTTTTCATCTTCTCTGTTACTCAGAGCAATCATCTTGCCCAGAAACCACATATTGAAAAATGTCCTTTGGAGCCTCACCTTGTAATCATGTGTTGGTACTTTCTCTTGGTCTCTGCCTTGCAGGGAATAGGAATTTTGAGGTTCATGAGCTAGCCCTAATAGTTATCTAGAGCAGTTAAGTCTTTGCAAGCTCAAAACTGACTTCTCTAACCTCCTTCTGGAAAGTACAATGGACACCACCTAAGCTGTAGCTCAGCAGCTAAGGCTTTGCCATTTTGTGACAGTGGCCTGGGTTCAATTCCCAGATTTTGAAATGAGTCCTTTCTGATTTGATATCTGTGTGATCTTTGCCATTTTTAAATTCCTTTTCCCTCCCTGAACCATCTTGAATTTTCCTTTCTGAGCACCTGGGAGGTTTCTCTTAGTAAAGTTGAAAAGCCAGAAATATTGGCCATTTGGCCTGGCTGTCGTTGGGAAAGAAATTTAAAATAAAAATTTTTTAAAAAAGAGTGTTATAGTTAAAAGTCAGCTTGATTAAAAGTAGATATTCAAGCTCTTAACAGTCTGGGACTCCTTGGAGAAAACAGGAGGTACCATAGACCCCATTTTTGGGAAAAAACTCTGTTTTCCTCATGAAACCCCAGGAATTGAAAGTTAATAGATCCCTCTCAAAATCTAAGGCTTGTTCTGTTTTGCATTTTTTTATCTGACATTTTTTACTTTGGGGGGTATCAGAAATTACTTTGCATTATAAGAGAGTTTAGTGTGTAATAACTAAGTAGGAAATATGCTTTGGGGGATGGCTAATAGCAGTTATAGGGAAGAATACTCACCTTTTGGCTCGTGTCATATGGATAAGAGAAGCATGCTCTTGGCCATCTAGGAAGTATGCAGATGTCCCTGGATTCGATGAGAGATAAGGCTCCCATGGGAGATGGACTGATTCCCTTTTTTTTGGGATCCAGGATCTGGTATAAAAATTGGACTCTTAATTTTGTGGGTCTGTTTTGCCTTCCAGCTGTGCCTGCTTATTAGGCTATAGAAACCGTATGCTTTCCTGGCCCTGTTCTTCCAAGGGCTACATGCTAAAGCCAGTGATACAATTAGGAAACTGGCAAATGAAATGTCTTACAACTACTGCATCTTCTTCTGTCTATGTATTTCTATGTGTTGTGTGTGGTGATATAAAAGAGCTTTGATTAATGGCTTAAAAACAATGAATGCTTAAATCAAAAGTTTTGTCAGAAAAGTAAAAAGTGGAATTCCTCTTTGCATGACTGGAGTAATCTTTGAAAAATAAAAAATAAATAAAAATAAGAACTCAATATCATGACATACATGCAAGGTATGTAAGAAAAGTGAAATGTGTTTTTGGTAAAAGATTATAAGAAGGCATGGGAATATGGATTTATTTTGCCTAGATATAAAGGTAGAAGGATTGTCTTAAATTAGATAAGATAAAGTTAAAGGTTTAAGCAAATTGTGGAAAGTTTGTAAAAAGTTAATCTTGTAAAAGAAATTCTGAATGTGAACATATTGGCTAAGGTTAAAGGTATTATTCAATCTTCCCATAAATTGAACATTGGAATATAAGCACATAAGGTTTTTCTTAGAGCACTGATCTGCTCTTTCACCAAAATTATAAAGGATTATAAGAAGTTTACAATCCACTTTGCTGGGGAGGTGAGGAAAAAAAAGTTTATAAGAATCTTACCTTATAGTCAAACTGATTAAGATTGAATAAATTTGTCTATACAGTTTTATTAAGAATTGGTTTTAACATTAATAGTACACTAATGCAACAGTAAAATTTGACTTATTTAGTATAAAAGTTCTGCAGGAAGCATTGTAAAATATGAAGTTGGCTTTCTTTGGGCTATATTTGTATAAATATGTTATTGGTATGTGTTCCAGAATTATGTGAAACTCCTACAATTCTCATAGAGCTTAGTGTTTGCTATTAATAATTATAATTGTTACATAAAATCGTTGAATGCCACAGAGGTAACCAAAATTTCCTTGTCAATTGTGGCTTTAATAGTGGCTGTCCTAACTAAGACATTTTGTCAGCTATTCCACAGACAATTGTTGTCTTATTTTTGTCCTCCTTAGAAAGTGGGTTATAGTCAGCTATAGGACTTTGACAGGTGCTCTTAAATGCAGGTTTCTAATAACTTTGGAAATTGTAACATTAAAATAGAGGGAAAAATTTTCAGTGCTCTCAGAGAGAGCTGAAATGTTCATGAATATCAAGCAGAACAAGAGTTAACTGCATGGACTGAACTAATAGAAGACTAAAGTAACCTTTTTGACTCTTTGCTTAAAATGTTGCTGATCCTTTGTTGTGTTTTTCAAAGTCAAGGAAACGTTTCTCTTGAGCTATTGACAGCGTTTAACAATTGAGTAAAGTATACTCTTATGAACAAAAGTTGGAGCATATTTGTTTCTCTCTATCTGATTTCTCCAGAATTTGACAACTATTAATATTTGTGAGCATCTTAACTTAGGGCAATATAGTTATTTGCATAAATAAAATAAGAATTTGTTTTTCTGTTTTGTTTTGTTTTTTGGTAACAGAACACAATTGAGAAACTGGTTGTTTTACCAAGGCTTTGACTGAAATGGCTTGCTTTCCTTTAGGGAATCAAACTTGACTTGAAGAGCCAATAAAAGCTCTTTGAGAAAAACTGATCTCATACTTTGTCTGCACAGTCCCTGTACAGGGTTTCTGACCAGTGGTACGTAAAGAATGTCACTTTCTAACAGGCCCTGGGGCCCCAAGTTATCTTGGGACCTCAATAGGAGGGAAATGTACTCAGCTTGGAGGTGTTTGAGGGTGTAAACCCACGCATGGACTCAGCTTTAAAAAAGTCTTATTTGAGATTCCTTCTCTGGAACAAAGTTCCATAAAAGCCAACTTAAAAAGAACTTAGGTGACAAATATTCTTTGCTTTATTTGCTTGTTTAAACAAAGGTTAGTATCAATAGTAATAGTAAATTATTTGAAGGAAACATTCTTAAGAATTTCTGGTTAGAATTTTGTGTACACATAATCAAGGAATAAAAGTTAAGTTTAAGTACTTATTTAAAGTATTTTGAGAATATTTGTTTAGAAGTATTATATTAAATCAGCATTTTATTTTACAAGCTTGATATTCTATTTTACTTATAAAAATTATATAAGATAAAGTAAAATATAATTTATCACCAACCTACATACATATATTTTATATATTCTGTAGTTTGAATATTTGTCCCCTCCAATATTATGTTGGAATTTAATCCCCAATGTGGTAGTATTGAGAGATGGGGCCTTTGAGAGGTGAATGATTTATGAGGGCAGAGTCCTCTTGAATAGGTTAATCCATTCAAGAATTGAGTGTAAGATTAATGGGTTAATGGACTCATGGATTATTATGGGAGTGGAACTGGTGGCTTTATAAGAGCAAGAGAGACCCTCAATTCCTTAGTTGAAGACTTATTAATGCCCGTGTAAGGGAGAATTCAAGTAGTTCAGCAAAAAGTAACAACAGGAAGACTAAAACATAAAAATAAACAGAAATTGATGGGTGATTTCAGCTGCTGCCTACTTCAGGAGAGACAGAGTTTTAATTTGTTTTCAGCCAGGATTACTGCCTTTTAAAACAAAAACCAATATTTTCAGAGGGAGATAACAGAATTGAGAGTTCTAAAATGTATCTTGCATGATATACATTGTTATGGGCAGAACTATGCTCCCTCAAAATTTGTATGTTGAAACTCCAACTTCAATACTTCAGAATGTAACTGATAGAACATTTAAAGAGATAATTAGGTTACAATATTGTCTTCAAAGTGGGCCCTAATATAATCTGCTGATGTCCTTACAAGAAAAGGAGATTAGGATACAGACAAGAACAGATAGAGGGATGACCCTGTGATGACACAGTGAGAAGGCAGCCATCTGCAAGCTAAGGACAGAGGTTTCAGAAGGAACACAACCCACTGACACCATAGTCTTGA